GAAATTTTTTATTTCGTGATCCCTGATGATACTAGTATATAGTCCGACTAAAGAAAAAAATTTCCAAGCAAGTTTATTTTGTTGACTTTTTTTAGTCAAACCGTACAGTACCAGCGCAATCAGCTCATATAGGTAACTAAATTTAACTAAACGTTTCGATAGGACATATCGAAACGCGTAGTTAATATTATAACAACTAAACTCTAATTTTCAATCCTGCGTTTAGTGCTTTTTCTTATGTGAAATCTCATATAAGAAAAATTGCTAAACGCTAAAGGTCTGTTAAACTGAAAGCGTAATACAAAAGTGAAAAGTTCATCGAAGACGATCAAAGGAAAATATCCTTGAAAAGGAGGGCAGCTTTTCGCGGGGGACACACTTTTAAATGAATTTAGTTATCCTGCTCACCAAACCCGTGGTAACATGAATTGCGAAAATCAACCAATGGCTGCTGACTAGCAAGTAAATCTCTTAAGGAAGCATAAAAGAATCACACGTAGCATTGACTATGTCGAAAAGTTACGAATTTGATGTTGAAGTAAAAACCTGCCTTGACTGGGAAAAACACATTGCCTGACCACACCGCGCTATCGAGACCCAGTGCAATAGTGTTAATTCTCTTTTTGATCGATCTAATTTGTTTATTTTTTGTCTAGTCATGCAAGCTAGAACCTTTTGATAAACCCTGAGAAAATCTAATTCTACTGTATATGAAACGCGAAATACTTTTCCAAATATATCGTTTTATTTCTCAATATCTCGTCTGTTTCTGAAAAGTATTTTCGTTGCATCTCCTCAATATCTAACATTTACCGGTGATTTCGTTTTAAAGTTTTATCCTCTGTGATAATAAGCATATGCCGAAAGTTTCAGCGTTGTTGTTTTGGAAAGAAGTGAGTTTATCGCCAAAATATACAGTCACCTAACAGCAACAATATCCCCTAGTGAAGCTTTCTTACTCAAACACATGACTCTGTTGTATATTTTAAAATGCTGACTGTTTTTTACTAGAACTTTGTTTAATCTTTTCAATTGAAATGGGATAGCTGGAAATAGTGTATTATTGAACACAAGAATCATCACATTTTAGGCCAAAAAATCGATAAAAAAAGGGGATCATCTAATGCAGGTGTTCTCTAATGTGTCACCGCGTTTATCTCACTGCAAAGGAAAAAATCGAAAAAGTATACATAGGAAAAAGTCGGTGTTTTCTGTATCGGTAATTTCGCTATTACTGTATATCGATAACGGTGCTAATGTATGCAAAACACATTTTTTTCGGAAGTCATGCGCTTGACTTTTATTTCAATTAAGGTCAATATTATTAGTAATTGATTTATCAAATTTTACGGAATGGCTATTGCCCCTTCCAGAAGTGGTATTAAGAAACTATTGCTACTTACAAGAAGTGTCAATTAGGAACTACTAATACTTTCTAGCTAGAACATACGTGCAAGATTTACCTAAAAAAGAAACCTGTTTCACGTTTTTTTTCTTACCTTTGAAACTTCCCCTAACATAGCTTAAAGTACCTGTAGTACAGAAATATCTATGAGGTTCTCAATCTCGTTGATCGTTGCTCAAGGCTCCTGGCTAGGAAGCAGGAAGAAACAGCCTGAAACAATCCCGAGCTACAGACCGGGATGCGCCCTAGCATGCTAGGGTGGAAGCTCACACCAAATCGAAACAAGCTTGGAGTACAAAAGAACAACATAGCACTGGTGGACTTTATACTCGCTGTGAAAGTAGACCACAAGGTAAAGAGCATGTGTGTTGTCCCGAATACTGTTGTGAGTGTCGTCGCTTGGAGTTCGAGACCAGTGCAAGTATCCGCACTTTTTCATAGTTGTATTACAGGCAATTCTTCATCTGTAAGGTGAATTCGAGCAAAAAACGGTTTCTTGTAGACTGGTTGTCTCCTTACACAATCGAATTCAAACAGATTTTTATAAATTTTTAACGTCAGTCTACACAAATAGCAGCAACACGTAACGCTTCAAACAACATAGTTGATAAAGATTAAAAGCGATAAGCACATTCAGAATACATTTGAGGGTCCTAACACTTCTGTTAATACACTTAGTTAAACGGGTTTCGTAAAACATTGCTTTCTTCAAAGTAACGCTTGATTGATTATATCGAAAAATACACATCACGTGGTAGATACAGCATTTAACAACTACATACACAAAGACTGGGCAGGAAAAATGGCTTATAGCAGTGGTAATAGTAATTTTTTATCTTTTTTCGACCAAGCAGATTTAAATAGAGACGGCAAAATTGATTTAGCTGAATTTCGTCAATTTATAGGTAAATATAATGAATAAGTTCAAAAGCTGCGTAATAATATAACTTCGTTTATATGTTTTCTTCAAGCACAAAATCTGGTTTTAACGCCTCCACTACCACCTACAGGGAATCATCCGGCATATAGCAGCTATCCCAGTGGGGGAGCTGGGTTGACGACAGGGTGAATAGTAGATCCTTCGAATGAATATGTGGAAAATTGAACGTCAGTAAAAACCTGTAGTGGTGCTTTTGCTCATCATTCTATCTGGCTCGAACTTCCAGGAGAGCTAGACCGAACGGAAGGGGGTGGGGGGAAAAACCTCTCAAAAACTTTCAAAAAACTGTGTAACCCTCCCCACTACCAGTATTTGGTGGGTTGCGCCAGCTCTGAACTTCAAATCAATTTTTTTCTTTTCTTTGCACGTTCTTAAGGAAACCCTTATATGCAAAGGTTGTCTTACAACCAGAGGAGCAACTAGCATCGAATGTGTACCATGGCTCTAACAAACCACAGGAAAGTGGTGTAAGTTCTGGAACTAAACATAATCCAAAATGTACAAATGTACACGGTGTGATACATTTTATACAACATCAAGAAAATGGAGCGGTGACAGTAACGGGTGAAATACGAAATTTGGCACCAAATTGTCGACACGGTTTTCACATACATGAATTTGGTGATACATCAACAGTGAGTGTTGTGTAGCATAGATATGGAACTTTGCTTTTCGGTAGAAGTTTTGATCGAGTATTGCAGGCGAAAATGAGAGGGGAAGAATAAGGATTCTAGCCGATAAATAGGCTAAGTTTTTTATCGGTTATTACAATTGATGATTATGGACAATAATAGTAAAATATAATCGATTATAGTCAAAGCTTGAGTACAATAAAGTATACAGGGAAAGAATACCGACCTCGTTGCAATATAGAGAGGACTCGTTTCACGTCCTGCGTAATCAGGTCGGCACTCCCCATATACACACTTCACGATACTCAAGCTGGATATTTAAATCGTTGATTCTAGTCGATAATGATCTATAGACGATAGAGGATGATCACCTCTTATCGTGGATAATTGTAGACACTAGCCTAGAATCATTTATCGCCTATGGTGGTTGCCGCAGGGAAGAAAATGCGGCTCCGGGAGCTTTCCGGAGTCATTGAAATGCTTTCCGACGCTTGAGATGCTCAGCATCCGAAGTTCTCTGATGCTGATGCGATGCTCTTCGATGCTGAGCGATGCTTTCCGGTGCTAAGAAAGAAAAAACTCATATTTTCCCCCTTGGGTTACTGCCGACGGCAATCGCTTATTTAACTTATAATCGCCTATGGGTTCGGATTACCACCTAAAAATGCTATTATAGGTTGTTATCGACTATTTTCCTGTGACATTCTTGACTATCACCCAAGATGGCCCATAGCAGCTTATTTTTTCTCGCCTATTATAGACGATTTTAGTGGCACGAAACATTTAACTTTTGTAGGGTTGCACATCAGCCGGTGCTCATTTTAATCCTGAAAATAAAGAACATGTAAGAAGCGTTATAGAGTTACTTTCCACAAGTTTCATAATCAAATTTTTATTATTTTTCTGTTGAAGGGTGCGCCAGGTGATGCCGTACGGTGAGGTGGCAGAGCTAGAATTCTCATAAAAATCAATAATATTGACTTTCAAATTTTAGACACGTTGGTGATCTCGGTAATGTGCAGGTTGATCGTAATGGGATTGCTCGTATAAGTCTTACAGATAATGTTATATCACTAAGTGGCCCCCATTCAATCATTGGTCGATGTATTGTTGTTCATGCTGATGAAGATGATCTAGGTCGTGGCGGAAGCAGCGATAGTAAAACAACAGGTCATGCCGGTGCTCGACTGGCTTGTGGCGTTATTGGACAAGCTAAACCTGAATAAATTAACCTTTTTAATTGGCGAATATATATTACGAGAAAAAAACTATGTCTTACAATCGATCTCTAAAAGATCTCGATCTGTGCCATAGAAAACCGTTTAATGTAATATTCAGATTTAGTTTTTACTTTTGATTCTGGTGTTTGCAAAGCTGTTTCGCAAAGATATAAAGCTTCGCCCATTTCTTGATAGGTCGTGTCGATGTTTTTGTGTGAAAATGCCAATGATTCTTGATTGTTCAGAAACCTTTAACATAGCTACGAGGATGTGTGAGTTATAGTTCGTGATAGATTCCCATTGTGGTTGACTTTTTCTTTCGTTTTAATGTACATGCCTCAAATTAATGTAAACTGCAGTGAGGTTCGAAAGAACTATGCCTTTGACCTGTACGGTTATGTAAATTTTTTATAGCATTTTCATCATCGCCTAGTCTCGTGCGTATCTCACCTATTTATCATACGACGTAGAAAATAATAGTTCATATCTTGGTTTTCAAAACTTGTTCTTCGATTTTCAACGTTTTCTAACAATATTTCAATGCTAAACGATAGCCGACTTTGTCCCGCTGTATCGTAGTAAACTGATTATTTGTATATGAGAGTAATTTACAACGGGGAAAAAACGGAATGGGCCATTCCGTACCATTCTAAACTATGTTTGACCATTTTTTCTTTCACCATTTTTGACAGACTTATATACTATCCTTTGTGTATTTTGAGAAACAACGTGTTTGTGCCATGAGGAAAAATGTATTTTTGAAATGGTACGGAATGACCCCTTCCAGGCCATTCCGTATCATTCAATAAAACGGCTTTTTCCTCCTTGGTAATTTAGGGTCAGATTGTATATAAAGTGCCATTGAGTAATATTTCACTGGTAAATCGACATTACCAGGTGAAGAATGATTTGAACCCATGTCACCATATATCTTACTGATATTTTCCCGTTGGTCCAAAATACCATGTGCCGCAGGACACGTCAGTGCTTGTTCATTATATTAAACGATGTTGGATAATCTCCTTTGTCGTTAAGGGTAACTTCCCTCGTTTTTGACCCTCTTGGAAACCGGTGAAGCCAATTCAGATCGAGGCGAAATTTATATCGGATATAGGACATCGAAAATCAATGTATTGTTGTCTAAAATTTCTGACGTGGTCTTCTATGGGGTTGACGGAAAACGTCGAATAGAAAAAACATCGAAAAAAAAGAAGGAAACTATAGAAAGGCGAGATGTCGACGGAGAAAACGCAGAAAAGGAAAATGTCGAGAGAGAAAATGTGGAAAGCTTGAAATGGTGTCTGTAGCACTTAACTGAAGCCTGCCACGTTCAAAATAAAAGATTACTTTATCGTGTTTTATTTTATCAAAACTCCTAGTCATCCTTCTAAACTGAAAATACATTTCCTGTCCAACCAGTTGCTCGAGGGGCACTTCGAATGCTCGGAAATCTGCTTTCGATGGGCCTTCGCCAAGGGCTCCAATCCTTGGAAAATGACACTTCGGACCCTTGATATAGCTTTCGAGGGGTACTTCCGAGCGCTCGTCGCACCATCGAGAGAGCAAGGGCTCGGAAGTTCCGAACACCTCTATTCGACGGCTCGAAATTTTCTTAAGTGCTCGCTATCTATCTGACATCCGAGGGCTCAAAATCGATACCCCTCGAAAACTTATATCCAAGGTCCGAAGTGTCATTTTCCGAGGGTTGGAGCCCTCTGCGAAGTCTATTTTCGAGTACTCCCGGTACCCCTCGAACGACTTTTTTCATCTGCACGGGTATATTCACAAAATGCATGACAAAAAATCTCTGCTCAAATAAGTGGATACGACGTCGAAAGTAAACTAAATGAATGGACAAAGCATATATCGACGAAGGAAAATAACATCTTCAAAGACTGAAGGTCATCGACCTGACAATAAAAAGATTCGTCCATCTCTTATATCATATATAAAAAGAGAGAAAAAAATCCTTATTGTCTGTATTTCACATGTAGAAAAGAAACACCGCTATCAGCCAAAGTGAAGCAATGAAGCCAGTAGTGTCGTTTATAACATCGAATAAAGGCAAACCATTATTGATTTATGTTCTTCATCATTCTTCATTCGGCCACAAAAATTTACGATGAGGAAGCTAAAGCTGGTCTATCGGAAGCCACCACGACTATGCTGCCGACTGCCATCGAATTCTTTTTTTTGATATTTTCAATAAAAACTGCTATAATAAATAAATCTCCAATAACTATAATAAAATATTTTATTTATACACTATCATAGTACAGGAATTTTTTCTCTTCAGTATTTGCATTTTCGACATTTCCCTTTTCTATGCTTTCCTTCTTGATTCGAAAAATACTAAAAATCCTGTATAAAAAGAAGGTTTTTTATTTTAAAAACCTTCTCACGCCGAAAGTTGAAATCGAAAACGCTTAAGAAAAATTTATATTCTGAGATAGGGTCTAGTATCTGGGGTAAAAGTTCGAGCTTGATCGGAGCATTTTTTTGAGGATCGTAATGTGGCCCGATTGAAGGGACTATCGGAAAAACACATATTCTACATAGGACTCTGTTTTTAGGGAATTTGCGGTGATGCGATTTCTACGAAAACGAAGACGTCTCATTTTGAAGAGCACACTTCCTTCTATCGTGCTAAGTATAAGAAAAAATTTTGAATATATAGGAACGGAGAGAAAAATTTGCGAATCTAGAAAACTGAGATTTGCCAGGCTTTGAAAGAAAAAATTAAAAACTTCATAAGTTTTTCATGGAAGGTCATGAATAGGTAGGAATGGTCTCATTCTATAGCCCAGACATTCCTCTATATCAGGCTATGCTCAGTTCAAAATGAAACTTTTCTGCAAAAAGGGGAAGTATCAAGGGGAAAAGACAATTTCGGTATGTATGGTATGTTATTTATGTAATGGGTATTTTGGGTATGTGACGGATATTTTCGGTATGTTGAGTACTATCTGTAAAGGAAAACGGTACCATCAGTTGTTTTTTAAATAACTTTTGATAGAAAGAGCTGGAGAACTCGCGTTTTCATCGTTCGAAAGAGGAGATATGGGGGTATGCTTTCATAACCAAATTTTTTCCAGCAGAATTTCCTGAAATAGGTTTTGAAACATCAGAACGAGTTCAAAACTTCAGTATGCAGAGTATTTAAGTCATCCTATATCTTGTCTGTAGAGGATCTAGAAATCTTTTTTAAAAAGTTCTAAAATTTTTCAAAAGGGCTGCTGCAAAACTTATTAAGAAAAAATATGTTTTTTCGATTCTTATAATCACGTTTAGCGAAAATATTAATCATATCCTGAAGTTTTGAACTTTATCTGATGTTTTTTGAGTGACTAGTGAACTTTTTTATATAAGGTGAAAACAGCCTAAAAATCCTAATTTTCGTAAAACTCGTTTTCGGTAGATTTTTAAAACTTTTTCTAAAAGCAAACGTTGTCATAAGACTCAGCATGGCCGATTATCCATAGTCCATTCGTCTTCAAGGCTACTAATAGTCACCGGGTGCCAGTCTAGAGACTCGTAGAAAATCCGATACAACACCCGGACCCCGCAAAATCGAGGTCTCACTTGACTCTCATTTTGCAGAAGATATCCCGGACTATCAATTCATGGGAAAAAATCTAATCCAAAAAGACCAGAACTCCGTATTTCTCGTGTATGACTGGTATGTAAGTATTTTTGGTATGTGAGTGGTATGTACTGGGTATGCGATCGGTATATCAACGGTATTTTTTTTCGGTATTAATGCTGCTTTTCCCCCCTTGTGGAGTACCCTTAACATAGTTATGAGGATGTGTGAGCTAAAGTATGTGATAGATTCACATTGTGGTTGACTTTTCGTTTAATGTAAATGCCTACGATTTTCATGAGGTATTTTTACTCCTGTGATCGTCTTACTTCACTTCATCGTATTTCTTTACCATAAGCGTTAAAACGAATTAGTACGCGATACTTTATCTTCTGTTTAGTGATTAATCATATTAGCATCCTGATAATTCATATTCACGTCTTCTAAAGTGATTCACATTTGCTGTCCTCAACTATATAAGAACACAGGAATTTTTAAAAAATTACAAATGTTGTTTGCACTATCTCGTCGAAATACATGAATTTTGATTTGAGATAAATGTAACAGTTAGGTTAGGTTGTCAACCAGAAATCTCTACATCTCCCTCACCCTCACCCTCACTCAGTTAGAATGAAACTATATTGGATCATATAGACCTTATTTCTTTAACAGTACTGTAGTTAGTTACAACTCAGTGAGTACGAAGGAGTACTACAATGGCTACCAGGGATTCCAGATCTTCTGTTTTTGTCAGAAAAATTCTGATTTTTGGAACCTTTTCTGCCTCGTTTCTGCTCTTTTTTGCCGTAAGGTCTGTCTACTGATTTTCTGATTTCTACTTCTTTTTCTCAGGTTTTTCTGATCTGGACTTTTATTTTCTGATTTTCGTGCTTTGGATCTGGGATTCCTGATGACTACAGTCAAATGCACAGATACAATCCTCCATTGCTGACGGTCGTTTCCGTAGTAGCGTGGAGAACCGTAAAACGCAGAATTATTTTGAGGCATTAGTTTTTATTGTTATTATCAATTGAGAATAAGAATAACGATTCTCTTGCATTCAGATTAAAGCAATTCGTCCAACAGGCATTCGTTAGCTAATAAATCTTAGAAGGAAGCAGAATTTTTCTACATAGTAGAGTGGCTACTCAAGTCAAATTTCGCGTTGGAGCTACGCCACGACTCACGCTAAAGTCTTGGCACGATCACGTAACGCGAATGCGGCCAGGTTTCATCCAGATCCCTAGCATTACGAAGGCGGTAAAAAGTAAGGCTTTCGTAACACGTTAAAAAGACATAAGTTAAAAAAGACAGGACTTCCGTAATACTCTTTAACGAGCGGTTTACACTCTTAAACCCGAAAAATATGGATATGACCCGATTAATAGTGTTACGAAGGCCCTGTAAAAACAGATACGGAAGCCCTGTGGTTTTCGGAACGAAAGCCTTGTAAAAAAAAGAGGAATCTGGATGAAACGCGACCGCGAATGCTATAAGAGTTGCGAAATAAGACGCCATTTTAACGATCGCTGTTTTGTTGCGATCACATAATTCATGAATTTATTATATTCCAAGAGGGATTTCGGTGTCCTACATTCAAATTCCCTGAGCACTATGAAGGAATATATACATATCCCTGGAAATGTTAATGCACACATTCCCTACAAATGTCAAGGAATGCAGAAATATGAAGGAACCGCTAAAAAGAAACTGGGACATCTCGTTGAAAAAAGAAACAATCTCACGCTTTTATTCTAGAAGCACTTAGAAATTTTCTCTTCGTGATCTCGCAGAAACAATGAATTTATCTGGCCCGGACCAGTCCGACCACTTTGCGTGATTTTCTTCTTGCATCTGTAATGCTTTTGCTGGCTAAGTGGTGTAAATGTATTTCTCAACCTAATATTTATATTTTTATGATTTCTCGGTACTGAGTATACACATAAATTACAAATCCACGCATGCTTAAAAATTCTAAGTTCGACCGGCCCGACCCAACCAAAATACTTTGCGATCGAAGCCCGGCTCGGTCCAATCTCTCTGTAAAGTTTTCTGGACCGGTCCAGTTCGACCAAAAGCTCGATCCGTGCTGATCTCTGATATCTATCAAACTCAGTTTTGGAAACTAGATACTCGATGCTACATTTCCATAAGCAAAATTGATATGGATATCAGGAAAGTTTTCCATAGCCGGTTTCTCAGAGGAGCTTTTGAAACCAGTTTGGATCTCTGAAAACTCACATAGAAATAGGTCAATTATTTTTGAACCAAACAAATTAACATTCGAATATTCAGCACATTTTTCATCTGTAAATATTTCTCCTCTGTCCTCATCTTTACTCATATTTAATAACACCATAAAATGATCAGAAATAAATGATAATAGATAATTTCTAAGACTGACCATTTGGCTATTATTTCTCCAACGAAATTTTCATTAAACAAAATTGTTTGTACATATAAAATAATGACACATCTGCATTTTTACATTAATCACAAAAATCAATAGAACAAAATAGAAACAGAAAAAACGAACAGTTAGAGAAAATGTCACGAACTGTAATTACGAATGTAAAAAGTGAAAGAGAAAAAGAAAGAACAATAATAGAAAGGCAGAATATTATTGAACGAGAAATAAAATATATTTAACTACTCGGTTAAATTTAATAAATGAGAGCACCCTCTAACACTGAGCAATTATGCGGACATCGAGCGGAAATTAGGAGAAAAATCAAAAGTGAGCTGTTTCAGATCTAAATCCGGACAATGCACTTCGAGAGTTGCTCTATTTAATGGAATACAAATTTTGGTTTTAATTATCAATATTCATGGGTTAAAAAGTTAGCCTAGAATTACAGAGACATGACATTAAAAGAATTTTATGATGATGAACGTAGCTATCATTAAAAATAATGCGGATTTTTAATCTAGGTTCTTTTTACTATCGACTAGTGACAACGTTTAGCATTTTAAATTTATAGCTTCTCAGAAGAAAATTTAGTTTCCGAACTATACGCTTTTCCATACAGCTGTTCTTGGTAAAGTGAGTTTCTCCCATTTTCCTCGCCTTCAGACCGGTTAAAAGCGTTTTAGACTGTTATCTCTGTACACTGTGTTTATAATGTATGCGGGAAAATGCGCAACTTTTTCTAGAAGCTGGATTCTGTAGAAAGAATGTTTCATTTAATATCGAATCGTAGTACTATCTAATTTCTTTTAAATACATTTTCACTTTGAATGTGTAATTTCCATCTTTTATGCTTAAATGGGCCCTCGATTCTCATATGCGATAGGTTCGTTGATTTCTCGTTTCGGTTCGCTGTACGTAGGTGCAAGTATGGTCTAGGCCGTAAACTTTTCTAAAAAAATTTCAAGTATACATTTGAATGATACTTTTCTAAACAAGCTGAAACATCAAACATGATCATTTTGAATTCATCGGAGTCAAATGTTAATGTAGGTAGTCTTTCAACGAAAGAAAACTTACCTGGCATGATTGTTTTACTTTCACTTAGATAATTGGGCTTATCGACTAACAGTTTAACTAGATTGTAGTTAACTGTATTCGAGGCAGAGGCGATGGGACGAAGCAGAAGACCCAGTTTAGAGAGACAATCCGTATATCCTTACTGATTGTGAACCAGTAACCCAACATAAGTAAGAGCGGGCAAAATTGAACTATTTGTTCCCATAAAATGAGATTTAAAGCTTCTGTAAAAACTATTTTATTCATTAAAAGACCGGCTAAGGTTTCAACGGAGATTTTTATTTGAGAAATTCAAAAAAGAAAAAATTCATTTTTACTTTTAAAAAACCCTATTTTGAGAAATATTCAACTTTTTTTCTCATATAGAGATGTGACAACAATGAATGAAGATAAGAAATCGATAATATTTCACGGAAAATGCTATTTTTTGGTATTCATAATCTGAATCACTTTTATTTCAAAAAAATTGATCTTAATTTTGTGTAAGGCCTAATGAAGTTCCGAACATTGGTAATTATATGAAATTCTACTGTGCTTATAGCTGAATGAAGTCAGTACCCAAAAGTTAGATAGTAGTTTCCCGATGTTCGGTCGGTTACAACTAAAAATAAAATAAAATTGTAGGATTAGTTCTAGTCCGAATAAACACAGAATATGGTTGCTGTTACATAAAAATCTTTTCCTTCTTTTGATACTGTTATATGTCTATCCCATTTAACATCCCATAAACATCTACTTGTAACTCTTAAATCTTGATGTTTTTTTTGTCCTAAGGATACATGTGTTATAAATTTAAATCTATTTGCTGGTAATTGTTTCATTTGATTACGTATTTGATCAGATAAACGACCAACAAGTAATTTTGCATTTTGCGCATCGTACACATAATCTTTAACAGCGGAATCAAGAACCATTTGAGCAATACGTTTTACTTTGCCAATATCTATTTTTCTATCTTGATCTGGTTCCATACGATAAGTATTTTCGTAACGAATCAAACGTCGATCAAAACTGCGTGGTATAGAATTTAATGAAGATTGACGACGACTACGTATCATTGACTGACGACGGATAGAATCACGATGGGACGAATCGCGACGTGCACTATTATCATCAGCCATTTTAGATCTTTCAAATTAACAGAAATGTGTGTGGTTATGTTTGCTATTAGAAAGAGTAAATGGACTTTATTCACTTTTCGTTTTTCTGTTAAATGGTTGTGAACAAAAATTTCATTTACAATATGGCATTTAGTTCTTTTCTCTCTATTGATTGCGCGAAGGAAAAAAAGGAGAGAAAAAAAAGTCTGAAAGAGTCAGTCTCACAACTGAGACATGCTGCTTATTGATGAAATGAAATTTAAAAGAGTGGTAGTTAGACGATAAGATCAACTACCTGTTATAAAGTGGACCACCTCTTAACGGGAGAAAAGTTGCTGTTGCTAAAATGTGTCCAGGGGCGCTCAAAAGGATTTTTAAGGCTTAAAAATATGATAGTATTTAGTATGGAGAAAAGCTGCATCAGATGAGTTAACGCAGGGCTGATTTGAGCGGGGACCGATTTTGCCTCTTATCGTCCTTCGCCCATTTTAAATATACATTCAAAAATTTCCAAGAGATGTCATTGGGTTTTCAAAAGTCAGAAGGCTCACCGTTCATTGTGAGCTTCGGGTTAAAGCGGTTTGCGGAAAATCATATAGGTATCATATAACATTGCTTTTTATGTTTTCTTACGTGTGTTTCGGGTGATTTCAGAGCTATTCCCCAAGAGCTATGAAAGGCCACACGCCTAGGTAACAGAACGTACGTCGGTTCAGCCTCTATTAAAAAACCATAAAGAACATGAAACACACATAGTGTGTTTAGTTAGGGATAATTGCTATATGTAAAATAGTTTTTGGTTCAGAACTTAGCGAATACCGTTTTTATCATATACACTAAACGGGAAATAATGAATGTTTGACGGAAAAGAGCTATAAAATCATTTCAGTGGAGGGCAACTACTGACGCGTCTACTGAAGTGATAGTCAGACATCTTATTCTGCTCTTTCTCACAGCGTTGTTTAGAAAGCTATTGGTGAACATTTTCGCTGGTTAGAACAGTTCTTCATTTAGTTCGTCAGAAAGATCCTGACTTTGCTAGTGCGACTTTGTCCTGCGCTATATGTCTACATGTCTGTTATGGAAATAGCGATTCAACACTTCGAAGTGATGCTTCGTTAGTTAACGATGGAAGCATAACTTGACCAGCTGACCATAATCTGGCAGTTTCGCCTAAATCCCACTTAGGGGTTTTATTACTTTTACAAAATATCAGTCTTTTAATGTCTTTTATTGAACAAGATAAGTGAAGCATAAAAGATAATGTCATTTTAGCTAGGGTTTATTTACTTGCGCGTCGTTCTTTTACCATTACCAATAATATTCCAATGCTAATTGTAATCACAACACCTAAGAGAATAAATCCTGTCCATAATGCTGCTATTCTATCACCCGTATGTCTTGTAACAGTTATGTCTTTTATTTGTACACTTATTTGTGTATAATTGTTATGTACAACTACTGTTTGATTTATGTAATGTGTATTATTAACAGCTGGAAATGTGTAGAATATTAATGTTTTTAAACTATTTGGTTTTGCTCGTAATACAACTTCTCTGCCTTGATCATATCTCGTTCGAAATTTTAAGACATTCAAGTTAATAATCATTTCTAAATGTTTTATAATTGAAAGAGAGGCTTGTTCGACATGCAATTGTTCAACCGGTCCATAGAATGGAGGATTATCCAGCAATGTAAATGTAACATACAAATCGTTTTTGTCATTCTCATGATCAATAACAATATTTGATAGACGTACAGATCTTACTTGTAAATCAAATGCCAATTCCATCAAAATTGTATATTTCAAATAAAGAATATTCTTATGTACGGGATATTTTTGCACATTATCAATAGTAAAACGTAATATGGCATAATTAAATCCATTTGTTGGTCCTAACGCACGATAACAATCGGCTAATGTTGAATCAATTGCTACAATTGTCATTGGATGTGAAAGATAATTATAAAAATCTGAAAACAGAACCCAGAGCACAAGTGTTTGTGCGGAATATAAATAATTGCTTACTGATTTCTTGTGTATTCGGGACTGTACTTGGTGTTGATATAACAGTTATAAGTAACTTGACAGGAATCATTTCTGATAATTGCTGACCATTAAATTCCATCGCCCAGTACCATTCATATTGTTCTATCTGCTTATTTTCTGCTTGTTTCTGTCCAATCCAAACATGACACCGAACACGATCACGACACCATCTAACACCTATATATTGAAATTGTGTGTGATTATCAGCTAGCTGGAAAAATTCATAGACACTTTTCATTCGAATATGTGTTTGATCAACTAATGTTGCATCTCCGCTAGATTCACTAATTTCTGAAACTGAACATTGTTGAGTTTGTGGCAGATATCGATAACTCAGACCGGTTGAATAATCATGTATTTCTCGAAAATCTACATTATTGATATAGACATCAAGACGAACAAATTGAAGTTGTTCATCAATTAATTCGAATGTCGTTAGTAATGAACTATTATAGAGCCGTGGTAGAGATATTTCAGCATTTATTGATAAGCGACTTGGTAGATGTTCCGGCAATGCCTTTGTATTCGTACGATTTGGACAATATACACCGGTTGGTGTTTCGAGTGACTGAATTTGCTCATTTTTATTTGGATATGGTACATAACGAAAGATGTTATAACTATAGGATTGTTCTTCACCACTAAGTGTTCTACTTCGAACATCAACTTTTAGTAATTCTGGTTGATGTGAGCTGGCTAGAAATTTTTCTGGATTGTTAAAGTAATAGATTGCGTTCACTGTTGCTTGAATGTCCGTAACATAAAAGCATGATTCAAATATACTGGCAGGAATACCGCGTATGATTGTTTCACCACGATACCTTGCACCAAACACATTGTTTAACAAATTGTTTGAACTATAACCTAATAATATTGATGGTTTAAGTACCGATCTTGATACGTTACTTGTTGTAAATTGATTTGTGATTATATATCTTGCACATACAGGGGTGGAAACATTGTTAAGAACAAATGATCCTATTGCCAAATATTCATTTGTACGAAAATCATAATAATGTTGAAACTGCGTGCCAGCAATAGTTACATAAACCGCATCGCGATTGGAAGTAAATGTTTGGCTAATCTCTAGACTTTGGTCAACAAATGTTAGTTCACTAAATATTTCAAATGTTGTTGGTATTGGTGGCCATTTCGGATCATTGGGTTGTGTTATTAGACCACTTGGACATATATTAAGATCAATTTGCTGACCGTTTATAACATGTAAAAGTAGAAATAGAACGTTAATATAGTGCATGTTTTATAGTTCTATGAATAAAAGTGTATGAGAGTGAGAAGCGATGTGTTATTTACATGCAGATAAGAGATAAGGAAGAAAAATGTTTCTTTAAATAAAAATTATTTTCATTTACGACACATTTCTTTTTTTAGCATGAAGATTCTATCACTGTTTGTTATTATTAATATTGTGACTGTTATCAGTGGTCAAGATGATTGGAACGGTGATGTAGCTCTTTGTACACCCGATTCAAATCCATTACCACCACCAGCAGGCGTTCCATTTCCAATATTTCCAGCTAGAGCTGAATTTGGTCTCGAACGTGTTGAAATAGACACTATTGCTGCTTCTAACATACAAACAACTAAACGTTCAATGTATGAATACTTTTATGACTATGATGCTAATTCACTAGTAGAGGTTGAAAATTCAAATGGTATTATTAACGTCACATTCTACTACTATAACGTTTTGAAAAAATCCACATATTACGGATCCCAGTTTTGTAATGTAACAGTTATTGAAATGAACAGACCCACAGTTGGATCATCAGCAATTAATATTGATGGACTACCACACATAAGACCGTTAGACCAATTTTTACTATTTGCTAGTAGCAGTCCTACAGAAGGACTCATTCGACCGAAATATATTGGTGAAGATATTGTACGTGGTATACGTGTTGACAAATGGGAAACATGCATAGTAGATAAAACAAATTATGTTACCACAAAACGTGAATGGTCATTTGCTAAGCCAAACTATGCGATGCCAGTTGGAATAACAGCAGTCTCAATTCCAGTACAAGGTGTTATAAACGCAACGAAGATGATCAATAGTACAGTATATGTAGCTGAAGTAGATGAAATATTTAATATATTATCATATAAACCGGGTATTGAACGAGCTGATGCTTTTTCACCACCACGTGGTGCATTTTGTGCCGGATTTGGTGATAGTAGTTTATCTTCTTTACAAGAACAAGGTATTGTTTGGCCAAAACGGTTTTCCATTCGAATTGATTCGACAACATCACAACAAACTCGTTGGCAAACATTTCATTTACGTATTACACAATCTGATCGACAAAGAATAATTCGTTATGATTATACACCATTGGCTAATGATATTGAATCAATTATTTTAGATTACACAAACAGAATCAAATACATAATTGATCGTCAATCAGGTTCATGTAAAATTGAGTCTGGTATTAATTATCAACCACTAGATGCAACAACATCTCCCGTTGAATTTTTTATCAAATATGAATCCTTGTTGATCCATGATCTGACACGCAAATTCCAGTTCAATGGTATCCGCCCGTGTCGTGGCACAAAAATTGAATTGGGCTAGTTCGATTATTACGCGACCTTTTGCTCAATAAAACATCGCACTTTCAGCTTTTTTCAGATGTGAACATGTTCATTAATATGATGTGGAATATTTGATTATTTCAATGTGGTATTTTTACAACATCAGTTGATAATTTTCCTGAAATACCCTTCACAGGTGAAACATGGCTAGTGACAAATATCGAATGGGCATGGTCGATGCGTAATCAGACATCAAGTAAACCATTTGATTATCCTGTACATTTATATTTAAAATTATTTCGTTTATCACCTGGTGTTGGAATGGGTTTTGAAACACAAGATGTTGAATATCAGTTTTATGAATATAGTCAACATGTACGTGCAGATGACTTTGATATTAGTTTATGTTATCGTTCGAACGATTTATTTTACAAACATGTTGCATTTCAATTAAAAGTTGATCGTCCAATATCAATATTAGAAGATCCAACTCTCGATAGGTAAGATTTTATATTCGTTCAAGCAGACATGGACGAATCCGAGTCCATAAAAATTCAAGCCGAGTCCTTAACATTAAGGACCGAGTCCGAGTCCCAAGTCCATTTCTAGTCCGGTAATCTTTTAGATTCTTTTTTGATGAGTGTGGTTTATTTCTCTTTTTTAGTTTACTGAGCCCCAGATAGATATTTGATTTTTCGAAAATAAGGTTACTTTGCATGTTCGTCTCCCAAACAAAATTTCAATTTCTTGTGAAACAGAAGGTGTTATTACTTCGCTTTTCATTTGTCTCTGTTCATTTGTGTTAAAAGATGAATAGATCGGACTCGAGATACAAAAACTCTAGTTCGAGTCCGAGTCCTTCAAAAAAATCCCCATTCCGAGTCCAAGTTCGAGTCCGCCAAAACATCTTCCAATCCAGACTCAGACTCGCCCATACCTGCGTTGAACTTTCTATAATATCTTCGACGTTTCACTTTACTTTCAGACGTCATATAATTGAAACTGTTCGCAAAACTTTAGTTTCAGTAATGACAATACAATATCTACGTGTATCCGATTTAGAAATTGACCATAGTAAAGAAAATGATACACTCTATTGTATTTGCACAATTTTGCATCGATTACCAAGTGATCCAGCTAGTGAAATTGGTCTTTCAGATGCAAGAACAAAATTAGAAGTTGCAATTAATACAAATCAATTCACATTTCAAATGGATGATAAAAATGGTCAAAAATTGACAGTTAGTGCCATTCCGTGGACACTAGAAGATCTCGAACATTTCTATTCATTTAATTCAAACGCAACAATAAACGATTTCAATATCTTCTTAAATATAACAAGTAATCTAAATGATACAGTGACACAAATCAAAGAAGAAATACGAGAGAAAGTTGTTTATTCAACTGCCTCTCAAACAGGTGGTATTGTGGGCGGTTTAATGGTGGGAATTGTTCTTGGCTTATTAACATTATTTCTTGTGTATAGAAAACAAGGTAAAAGAGGTGAACAATCATCATCTTTTCGGAATGTAGGTTTTCGTTCGAAACAAGCAGAAGCTGTCATCAACGGATAATATAGACGTTGCCACTATAACCATTCGTAGTTCCATTTTTTCTCCTTGGATGATAAAGCTTATATAAAATCCGAAAGATACTCAATAATGTTATTTTCTTCACAAGAGTATCACAAGAATAATCAGTTCTTCGTGACGAACAAGTCTAGTTTTAATATCATGACTTTGCTAATGCTAGTGCGTTCACTTCTGGTTCCAGCTTGTGAGGAAATCTCTTCAGGTGTCCAACGACGATTTCAACGATCTTTTGCGGATAGATACCGTATAGTATGTTAGTACAAAGCCCAAAAGGATTTGGGCTGTTATTGCTTCCTGCGAAAGTTATTAATCTTTTTTGTTTTAGCCATGCAGTGTATTACGCCGAGGTTCAAAAAATTCATAGCTCAGGCAGGAACATCCCCAACGGATAAATCGCTTTTTGATCGAAATCTAGCGAGTTATAGGTTATCGACCATGCTAATCTCGAATATGACCATGGGGGCTCCCTCTGCCCCGTCGAAGATCCAGTTTTTCAGAAATTCTTAAAAGCAACTAAGCCTTTTATTAATGAGCCATGATTGTAGCCCGCACATATCTGATTAAAATGAGGCACCTCCCAGCTCTACGCGACCTGTCTTTGCAAAAATATGAAATATACACGAAAAGCCGTAAAAAATTCATTGACAGCTCCAAGCTACAGAAGCAAGAAGGAAAAAATCCGTAACCTTCTTCAAATTAGTCTTAGAAAACTATGGTTGTTTTATATTCCACATACGTACCCTTTGTAACTTGTTTCGTCTATTGATTCCGCACGTAAAGACCGCAAGGGGGAAACACCGGACTCCAGTAGTATGGAGTCATGTGGAGTGAGCTGCAGTCATGTGGGATCGGCTGGTGCCCAGTGGATTCATGTGCAGTCAAGTGGAATAATGTGGGGTCACCTGGAGTGCATTTTAATTAATGCATCTTAATTCTTCGAAAAGAATCGGTTTCTCTCATTAGTCTTGCATCAAATAGTCAAATCGGACCCACGTAGTATGGAGTCCTGTGGAGCCAGTTGGAGCCTTGTGGAGTCACGTGGCGCCAGCCAAGATCAAGTGAAGTCACGCTCCAGTACTCTAGAGTCACGTGCGTCATGTACTACGGAGTCATGCACGATCCTGTATAATGGATTCAAGTGGAGTCAGCTGGAACCTCATGAAATGCATGTTAATTGTTCAAAACAATCGTTTTTTCTCACTAGTCTCGCATCAAATAGTCAAATCGGACTCCAGTAGTATGGAGTCATGTGGGGTCAGCTGGAGTCAAGTGGAGTCAGCTGGAACCTCACAGGGTCTCATGTAATGCATGTTAATTCTTCAAAAGAGTCGTTTTTTCTCACTACTCTTGCATCGGGCAGTTAGATCGGGCTCCAGTACTATGGAGTCATGTGGGGTCAGCTGGAGTCAAGTGGGCTCATCTGGGGACAGCCGGAGTCAAGTGGGCTCATGTGGGGACAGCTGGAGTCAAGTGGAGTCAGCTGGAACCTCACATGGTCAGCGGGAGCGAAGTGGTATCATGTGGAGTCAGCTGGAGTCTCACACAGTCTCATGAAATGCATCTTAATTCTTTAAAAGAATCGTTTTTTCTCACTAGTCTTCCATCAAATGGTCCATATATAAGATTGTCTGATTGTCTGCTTCTCTGGTTTGAAAGAAAGACTGACCATGGTTAGTGAATATTCAAGCCTGAATAATCGACATCTAAGATTATCTGATTGTCTGCTTCTCTGGTTTATTACTGAAATATAAGGATCCATCGATTGAAAAAAAACCGGTGGCAATGGTATCACAAGAGGCATCTCTTGAAGCTGGCCAACACGAACAAGGTGAACATATGCATCATTTTCAATGTGAATCAACGATCACTATATTACCATCGGTTCGTATTGTCCACCCACGATGAATAAAATCAAATATCAGTAACTTTATCTCATTCCCTCCTATATATTTGTAGAGTTACAACAGAAAAAATATCATATTTCCAACTGAAAATTCAGCTGATGTAAGTTGTTGATTTTCTTTTCTTAT